ATTCTTGTAAATGTGATGTAGGGACGGTTCATAGCTTAGGATTACTCGATTACCTTCTGTTTTGTTAACACTTGTATTGGTGTTGCATGACTTAGCTAGATGTGAGGAAGCTATAGTGTTGATTAATAAGCGACTGTATCTATGGTTGGATGCAATATGTTTCAGTTGTTAGCTCCTTGTTGGTATCTGATAGCTCAGTAGAATGTAAGTACACTCTCGTGACTAGTGTGTGGAAAGCGGCTGCCTCATACAACCATGGGTCAACTGAATTGGACTGTATGTATAGGGAGCATATGTAGGTTTGCAGTAAATTGTGATGTTTAACTTACTATACAGTACCTGAATCTTGATGTCTAAGTAATTAACTCGTGTGTAGCTGCTTTCTTGATCTAATTCTAGTGTTAATCTGTATTTGTTATTATTAAACACTTTTAACACCTCTCCCTATAGCCAGTTTAGTTCTCCATATAATCAAAATGTCATCCACTTAATGGGTATAACTAAGGATATTATGTTTGAAGTTTACTAAGGATCGCTCCTCCAATTGTCGTAAGAAAAGTTCACGAAGATCGCCCGAAATGGGGCTATCCATCAGTACCCTCTTCTTTGGATGTGTGTGTGTGTATTCATCAAAAAAAAAAAAAAAAGGAAACGTACTTACTCGTGCCTCTAACCGATGTGTAGAAATACAAAAATAAATAATTTTGTAAAAACAAACGTTTTCCGAACACCTTCCATGTCCTTCTTCAGGTAAAATGGTTGGATTCCTTATTCTCAAACATCATCATGCAATTTTTTAAAAAGAAAAATTTGAACAATGTTTTGATTGCGCGATATCCATTGCGCATGTGTTGTATCTGTCATGCTCCCTTCATTCAGCATCGCATTTACTCTTCTCTTACGTGCCTGATGTACTATTTTTATTATGATCTTTACAACCTCCTACACCAACCACATCCTTAGTAATCATTACGTAATAAGGCTTACCAAGCTAATGAAAGACCCATTTCTTCTCTTGTGTTAATGCACATAGATGTAGTGTGCGCCTTATATATTTCCATTGCTTCTAGCTATTTGAGGTGTTCCATGTGTTTTGTTTTGACTATTAACGATGCCCCTGCGAAGTCCACATTGATGCCCGGTTCTGGCGCATAAATCGCGAATGACGTGGTTGCTCTGTTGTATTGTATATCCGCTTTGTGTTCCTTAATCCTGGTTCCCATTGAGCATTTTGTTGATCCTATGTAGATCAAATCCCTACCGAATATCTCATCGGTATTCAGTATATGCCTGGCAATTTACTCGGGTCAGATGGGTCCTTTCCATTACGTAATGTGTCATATATTGTTGGGATTCTCCTGTATGCAATGTTGATCTTACGTTTTTTGGCGATAGATGTGTAAATGGATCTCAAGGCCAGGTTGTACGTAATAAGTATTCTTTCCACATTCTGGTTGCCTCCATTGTCCTTGCCTGTGTGTTGAGGTTCATTAGTGTTCTTTTGTGGCGGTCCGAGATTTTTGGAATAAGATTGTGGTAGCCATGAATATTAGCAACCCTCTCAATGTTGTTTAACTCATTATCATGTGCCTCTCTAGTGGATGAATGAGTGTACGCTCTTCTGACCAACGATCTAAAAGCGGCTACTTTATAATGAAATGGGTCACACGAATCACTCGGGATGTGTGTGGGGTTTGCAGATTGTTTACAATATACGTTGGTATGGATGTTGGGTGTCCCAATTTTAATATCAGTATCCAAGAAATGAACATTAGAGTTGCTGTGTTGATCTACTTCGAGTGGCAGACTATATATACAGACATATATATAGATAATATGGATTATCATTCATCTCTTCCACAAATCGTGCTAAGTTTGGTGTAGTTTTCCATACAATAATAACATCATCTACATATTGCCTGTAAAGCATGATTTCATTCATGAATCCCAGTAAGGTCCTCACTTCTAATTGTCTCACCACCAACTTGCACAAGTCTCCGGACACAGGACTGCCCATTGGGACACCCCTCGATTGTGTATATGTTTGTCCGTTGAATTGGAACACTGAACCGTAACAAGCCAGGTGAGCTAATTCTAGCACGTTTTGATGTAGGGACACGTCATTCACTCTCGCAAACAGGAGGTCTCTAAGAGCGCAAAAACACAGTGGAATCTTAATGGACGGATATAAAGATTTAAAATCCAAAACCGTGATGCAATCAGGAGATGTGATCAGTTTTAATTGATTGATTAATTCCACAGGATCTGAGATGGAGAATGTATAGCCACCTAATGCAACTTAACTATGTTGTGGATTGCTTTCTCCAATTTGTTGGCCTTCTTTGTGTGTCTTCGCGAACGCAAATAATTTAGGCACTTCCTGGGTATCCATTGTGATGTTCTTCAGCTCCAGTTTCTTGGCTAATTTTTTACCTGAAGAAGGGCACGGAAGGTGTTCGGAAAACATTTGTTTTTACAAAATTATTTATTTTTGTATTTCTGCACACCGGTTAGAGGCATGAGTAAGTACATTTTTGTTTATTATACACCCTGGTGTGCATGAAGAAGTTATAAAAAAAAAAAGGATGAATAGCACAATAGGTGTGCCAGCTCTAATATCTGGGAATGGAAATTCTGAGCATCAGGAGTAGTGCTGAGAAAGAAATCTCTTAAAACCCAAAAACATGGATACAAAATTGAACATTAAGATATTTATTCAGTTATTTAAATTAATATCTGAAAGTTTGGGGAGAAGTGCACATGAATCGGAGACCATGTATGTATATGCTTGAAGGTGGTGCTTTAACAAATGATGGATCCGTTCTTCCAACAAGAACATTGGGGATCTGGCTTTATCGATCACAGGATGCAATTGCTGACCTGATTTCTGAATTTTAGCAAAGGCAAACAGGTGGGTGTGTCCGGGAGCTGACTATTGTGTGCTGCAGGCCTAGTGCCACTACTAGGCCAATGCACATGAATTTACCAACACAACTTTGTAGTTTCATTGTATAAGAGGCATCAGAGAGCTGACATTGCATGTCTATTATATATTGCTATAATAGATCGATGTAGGTTGCCCTTTTCATGATCACGACTGCATTGCTTTTATCAGCCTTGACCAATGTAATGTCATTGGAACTGAGCCAATTCTTACTGTGTTTATGTAGTCCCAGAATACTTCTGGCTCCAGTTTGTGTTCTTCAATTGCAAATAGTACCTTACATCTAAGATATTCCTTGCGGATGTCTGGATATTTATTATTTGTTAAATAATCTATTAAAACTGCAGTAACAGAAGAATATCTTTCTCATTCTTAATTAATTGTCAATTAACTTCAATCAAATTATCATAGCGAATTTACAAATTCATTATGGTGATTTCTCTTTGAATGGAAAAAGTTTCTTGATTAATTATATCATCATTCTCAGTTAAGTCTCAAAAAATAAAGATGAATTCAGCAAGAATCTATTAATCAAATAAGAAAAATCCGAGTTTTTCTTATTTGTTGAATTCTTAGTTGGAACTATTCAGAATGATTTCATTTTTAAACTAAAATTTTTGATTTCTTTAAAACAAGTTATTTTTTCTAATACTTACTTTATATCAAAATTTGTATATCACTTTATTCTTTTTATTTTTACTGATTGTTATAAAACTCCTCTTAAAGTTCCACTGAAAATTGTTACAAGTTTCTTCTGTTCTGATAGATTAATTATTCATCCATTGTTCCAAGTAGTCTTTAATTTGAATGCTTTTTGTCAGGTCTTCATCAGATGAAATTCATTCAAAATTTTGCTTATCCTTTTCATGAAAGGTCATGTTAATAAATAATCCCACTCCTGGCATTAATTAATTCATGAATGCATATAAAATAACTTGATAATAAAATTAAAAATTTATTATTTTACTAAGCTGTAACATCAATTTGAATCCTAAATCAAAAGTGATTTTGATTAATGTCGTTTGAAAATTGAAACAATCTATGGTAAATGGGATTTACTGTACAAATGATAATAAACATAGATAATAAGTTTTTGTAACTTTTAAAATTATACAGTTTTTAAATTTAATTAATAAAGAAATTTTAAATTAAATAATGGAAAACATTATCATTTACAGTAAATAAATAAAAGCTTAAAGAATTTATTGTACTTGCATTTTAATATTAATTGAAAAGTTTGGTTTTTTTTTGTGATTTGTTTACAATGTAATATGACTTCGTGTTTATTACAATTATTAATATATATATTATCCAAATTGATGTGTTTCCATTCTTTACAAATGTTAGAATGATAGAAAGCCATTATAAATTATTTTACATTCAATTATATACTTTTAAGTTTTCTAATTGCTATATTATGGTGATTTATTTCCTCTTATTGTTTTACTTTAATAATTGTAATATATGTACTGTACATATATAAAAGGAATAAATTTTATATTTTCACATGTATGAAATGAAAATTTAGATTGCTTTTATGCAAAATTTTATTAAAATCTAGTATCTAATATTTTAAACAATAACAAAACTCAATTTTAATGCTATAATACTAATATTTTCATTTTCTCTTAAAAATTTTACTGTAAAAATTATTTCCAATTTTATAATAAATTAACATTAGTTAAAAATGTATTAATTATCAATAATTTCATATATATTTAGAGATATAAAATTTGAAATATTATAGTTACTTATAATTAACTATTAATTCAAGTGTATACTTTGAATTAATATATTAATTGAAATTGTATGGTTAAAATCGCAAATAAAAAATAATTTGTAATATGAATTTTTCATTATTAAATAAATTTAAAATTAGTAATATTAAAGTTAAAAAATAAAAATAAAGGTCAGTTGTTTAATTTCATTGAAAATTAAATAACTTAATGAACTTATTTTATTAAGTAATTATTTTAATTCATAATGAAAAAACTTTCAAATATTGTTAATATAATGATTTAGAATTTTCAGAGTATTATTCACTTCTGTTTTTTAGATAACTGACAGTCCTAAACATCAGCAAAAAGATAAAACTTCAGTAGCCAGCCTCCCTCAGTCTACTGCTGAAGCACAACTCAGATATGAAAATGATCGTCTGAAGCTTGCACTTGCTCAGAGGTAAAATTTATTAATAAGAAAAATGTTTATGATATTGTTACTATAAGGTATATTATATTATTTTTCCGTATTTGGGGTCCATGTCTTATTGATGGACTGGAGAAGACACAATTGAGATTCATTAGATCAGTTTTTCATCTTAATCATTTGATACCTGGATCTGTTTTCAGATCTGAATTGGGTAGACTGCCATTGGCTATAAGTTTAACTAAGGCTATTTTTAGTTGTTGGTTCAGGATTCTAGAGCTGTCAGGGTCTGATCTCAGATGGTTTATAACAAATTAAAATTAGTAAGCACTAATTCTTTGGTTACAACTTGGTTTTCTTCAGTGGAGCAACTATTGTCTAATTTGGGGTTTTTGTCTATTTACTGTATTCAGTTTTCTGATAAAAGGCTTTTGTTGGTTGAACTTCAACAGTCTTTGAAAGAAAAATAGTGGGCTTAAGATAGTTTTTATATACAGCAGAAATATAGTTTGTTGAAAAATTTGTTATCCATGGACCACCTGAAAGTTATTTGTTAAATTATAAGATTAAATTTTTGATAATACAGGTGTGGCTTAACAAATATACTGTTTTTTTAAATGGCTGTAGAATTAATGTAAACTTTTTTCTAATTATTCTTTTGGTAATCTTTATTTTGAAAATTTTAAAAATAATTTGCTTATATCTTGTGAATATACTGAACATTTAAAAAATAATTTTTTGCTAACTGATTTTAATATTAATTCTTTATATGATCATAATTTAAGTTCTGTAACATTATTTAAACTGTATAAATATTTTTGTTATTTAGTAAATACTAAAATAATTTTCTAAATTCAACTCATATATAACTGTACCTGAATAATGATAATTATCATAGTGTATGTAATTATGTTGTTTTTAAAGCTTTTGTATTCCCTTTGTATAGGCAAAAAGTTGTATCAAATAAATAATCGATTGATTGATTATTTTTCTGAATTAATGAGTATAGTGAATGATTATGTAAATTTTGCATCTGAAATGAGAAAACTTTTGTTTTTAAATTAATTTTAATTTATTATAACTTAATTAAACTTTATATATAAAGTTTATTATTAACTTACAAAAACTTACAAAAATTGTATCAGTATAAAATATAGAAAAAATATGATGAATAAAATATTTATTATACAAGGTGACAGACAAAAAATTTTTTTATCTGAATCTAAATTTAAAAAATATGTTCCATTTAAAAAGTTTAACTTCAGCCTGGATAATCCATTTCTGGCCAATACTGGAAGTTAAAAAATATCAACATTCCATAGAGCATACCTAATTTGCTTAGCAAAATTTTTAACATTTTTTATTTCACTCACTTCTCTTCATTTTAAAATGGATATAAGGGTGATCTTTATCATTCTATACATGTGATGCAATCTATGAAAGATACCTTAAGTCAGAAAAATCAGTTTTCATTTTTTGAATGCATCTTATTCTACAGACTAAGAGAATGTTTATAGCTTAAAATGCTATCAAGAATTACTAGAAACATTTGATACTGAAACCTAAAATTTGACTATTTTGACTACATTTACATTAAGCTTCTTTTTTTTTTTTTTCTTTTTGTCTTTTTGCTCTACAGCAAAATTTATATTTCCAGATATCTTTTTCATAGATTGAATCACATATACTTATATTCTTGGCAAACATGGTAAGGAGTTTCATATTATCTTATTTATTCAGTCTATAGTAAATAAATATTTAAGTGTTTCTTATGACACACAGCAAGATAGTAATAAGTAAGACAAGCTCATGGCATCACCAAGTCTGTTTCTTGCTAATAAATTAAACAATGCATGTATGCATACATAGTGGTCACAAAAATATTGTTATAATAAAAGATTGTTATATCTATATATACAGAATATAAAGGCAAAATATATTTCCAGTTTATTTGGGTACTTGCATATGAATCAAATTTATGTTTTATGTATTATTTTGAAACTTATTTAATGTAGATGAGCTCTGTTGCATCAGTTTTACTGTCTAAGTTATTTTAAACTAATTAGAAGTGAAAATGTGCCCAATTTCACTCTTCCCATAATAGTGCTCCTCTCTTCCATTCCAGCCATTGAAATTATCCCTGTCCAGGATAAAAATATTTCTGAAAATAACTTCTCTAGTTGACATTCATTGATTTTCAATTACTTTTTAATTTTGTGTTGTTAATAGAAAGATTATTGTAAATTAAGTTTTGGTCAAGAGGATTGACAGAATTTCTTTTGAATAAAATAGTACCTAAGCAAAGAAGAACTCTTAAACATAGACGAAAAAGAAACATAAAACAACATTAGATTAAATTTTATCAAGTTAATTTCATTTTTGCATGCAAATTAATACTGACAGTATTTAAATGGTTATTCAAATCTTTTCAAAGAAAGGAAGGTTGTTTGAAGAGGAAATGCAGACACATGTTTATTAATATTAGTGTTTGTTAGAATTAACCAGGGACAGAATCAAATTTAAATATCTATCTATCTATCTATCTATAGAAAATATGCTAAGGCAAAATCTGTTTCCAATTTGTTAAAGTGTTAATGTTATTTATTAGTAAATTTTATGTAAATAATTTATTTATTTCTATATTTTCCCTATTTATTTAAAGTATTTACACACTTTACAGCAAAAATATACTAATGAATTAACAAGAAAACTGTTTATTCTTATTTCCTTTTATTATTAGAAAAAGCTTGCTACTACTTTTAACATTGTATTGATGCTGTTTTCAGGCTAGCTTGACCGGATACCAAACATGCATCATTACAAATTTCAAATATCACAAACTCTATAAATTGGAGTTGCTGCATATTATACACCTGAGAACCCTTGTATGACTCCAATGTATTGTGTATGTAGAAACTACATACACGATATATTTTACAAAAAGTATGTGCATTGAGATAATTTTTGAATTTGAAATTTTGTTAAATATTCCATAAAATAATATGCATTTAGAACTCATGAATTCATTTGTTTTGGATTCATAATTTTCCAAGAAAAACTGGATCTGAAGAAGGTTCAAAAAAAGAGAAGGATCAAAAATGTTAATCCATTTCTACATACACAATATACTGGAGTTACACAAGGGTTCTCAGGTGTGTAATATTACACATTTATTCACTTTTGAAACAATTCTAGAATGGAATACAAAAATTCAAATAGTCAACCTTAACGTACAAAATTTGAATTTAAAAGTGTTTTGAATGATAAATTTGAATTCTTTTTTTTTAACTAGGATCTTAAATTGAAACATATAATNGACATGTATTTAATATTGTTGCTTTCTACAGCATGATATATAAGTTCTAGTATTTCTACAGTATAATCTATATAGAACATATGGAATTACTCTTAAGGAAGAGAATTACAGGCAAAAAATTATCTTATCCATCTTCCACTTGTGCTTTATTTCTTGGACAAGTTTCTGTATTTATTGATTTTTCCCCAACTATTCATATTTTGGATACCTGTATTTTAGTTGTTTGGGATGAATATATTTAAGATATATGTGATTTTATTTCATTTCTTATTTGGTCAGTCATGACAGATGGTTTTGTCTGCATTTGTGGCTCTATCATAGTATATTTTGTGTGTTGCTTTCTAAAATTGTGGTACACATTTTCATATATTCTATTATATATGTATATATATTTGAACTTTTAAAATAATAAACATAAGTGCTAACAGTTTAGCATACTGAAATATACTGTTTTATGTAAAAAAATACGTCTTGCTAATTTTATCTATTTAGCATTTAGTTTTAGCTAACTTTTAGTATTTGTTTACATAGGGTGAATGACCATTTAAGGTGAAGATGTAATTCAGAATTATTTTGTATAGTTACTATTTGTACCTAATTAATGAGATTAAATTAAGCAAGCATGCAAGTTTTTCTTGTTTAATAGAAAGGTGGTGCAATCTAAAAATATCTGTATTAAAATTAAGCATGATCTTATAAAGACAAATAAAACCCAGTAAATGACCACCAACTATTGGTAGGAAGTCATATGTGGTTATTTTACTGCTATAAAATGTCATTCATTAGTCTTGTTCATTTACTGGCATTATTTGACACCTTAACTTAGAATATCAGCAAACAAAACTTGATAATCATTCACTAGTAGCTGATTATTTATCAGTAGAGTTACCCTATATACAGTATATATGTATATAATCCCTTGCACTTCTTTCATTTCAAAAGTACTGAAGATATGATATTCATTTTCTTAATATAGTTACATTGGAAGTAATGCTTTGAATGATGGAACTTTTTGTTGATCTTATTTCAAGGTCACTTATGTTGTAACTTCCAATGACAAAATTAAGAACACCATTTAATTAGTTTAAAACCATTTTCTGGATTTAAATAAATAGTTATAATCAGTGTTGTGGAGTCTGAGATGCATTTTAGAGAGGAGTTTGAGTAAAATCCTTTCAACTCTGGCGACTCTGACTCTGAATTTTACTCTTGGTAAAATACTTTTTAATTAGTATCTAAAGAAATTTCTTAGAAAACAGACACTTCAATAAATTTAGATATTAAAATATATTCACCTATAAAAGCCATTCCACACCAAAATTTTATGCATATCTCTCACAACATGCTCTATACTTTCAGAAGACAGCTTTTATAATTTAAATGAATATTTTCACATTGCCTAGAAAGCTACATTCTCTATATAACACATGCCAGACTAGGTAAGTTTTTGTTATTACCTGACAGAAATTATGAAACATGGCACAATACTCGACTGACTTTGCATTTGTAAATAGTTATCTTAAACTTTGTAGAATTTTTTCAAATTGCAGCCCAATTATATAAGTATATCAATATTTGTTTTGACTAGCTCATATGCTATGCAAAAAAATTGAAACTGAGTAGCATATGAACTACTTAACAAGCAAATAATTTTTTCAATGTGCAAGTATGTCAATTCATTAGTTTTAGATACTGGCATGCAACATGATTCTTCAAT